TATATAATTATACAATTATACATACGTGTATATAAGTAAATATATATAATATATATATATAATTATACAATTATACATACGTGTATATAAGTAAATATATAATATATATAATTATACAATTATACATACGTGTATATAAGTAAATATATATATAATATATATATAATTATACAATTATACATACGTGTATATAAGTAAATATATATAATATATATAATTATACAATTATACATACGTGTATATAAGTAAATATATATATAATATATATATATATGTAATTATACAATTATACATACGTGTATATAAGTAAAAATATATATAATATATATATAATTATACAATTATACATACGTGTATATAAGTAAATATATATAATATATATATAATTATACAATTATACATACGTGTATATAAGTAAATATATATATAATATACTATTATGATAACTAATCGTTTGATATCGTTTGTAGATTGTTCCTGAGGAAACCGATGGATTTCCACATCTATATGATCTTCGCCCAAAGTCGCCGCACGCTGCTGTTGTTCCGTCAGGCTGGCAATGGCCCGGCCATGTCGTGCAGTGTTGTCCTTGGAAGTAGCCATGGAAATCCACCGAAATCCGGCCGGGATTTCCCTACGTGATGTGGGGCCAACGTGATGTGAAAAAACATAGATATTCCAATCAGATTTACCATCATCATAGTTCCTTATTAACCATAGATAAATCAGTATAAATCCCATGAATACTATAGTTATAAGATGTTATTTAAGTATCATAAACCATAGTGAAATTGGAGTTATGTGAACCCCAACTTAGCTATCTTAATCTTGGGGCCCCACTTTGTAGGAAACGATATGAAAACAGGCAACTCACACTGAAGATGATGGAAGTGGGCATTTTTTTTACCTCCGTGCAATATATGGAAAAACACTCTAAAAATCGCTGGGTTTTTCTAGCTCTAGGTATTTCGACAAGGAGGATCTTGCAGATAAAAGGACGGGTTCGGCGAGGTGCAAACCCTGGTTACAAGATCGGAGACAACAAACACGGACCGCCGGTTTTTGTCATCTGAATGTTTTGGAAAACTTTGGGGACCTGAAGAAAACACCAAATTTATCCAATTTTAGTGATTGTAAGTAGGGAATCCAGACTATTTGGGGTCCCAACTCCCAACATAGGGAACGCCGTCAAGATGGGTCAAGATGGGTCAAGTACGGCAAGTCAGCTGCAGTTTCCCCCCGGACTCGCCAAGCGTCCGAAACACCAGCCAAAGACAGGTCCAATTCAGAGGTACCTCAATGGATAAGACCGGAACCAAATCCAACCATTTGCACTTGATACAGATTATATCAGATTATATTGAATTGAGATCATCTGAGATAAAACAACAAAAATGCTTTATCCATGTTTATTCATCATGTTTATCCATCATTCAGCACTATGTAAATCCATTGATTTATGCTTTATCTCACTGGATTGGTTTAAGGGAAAATTTACAGGAAACCATGGTTTTTACCATCAAATATAGGGCTTTCCTGTAAAATTTCCCATCATCCAATTCTATGACTATCACTAAATCCATGACAAAAAAACCATCTGCAGCATCTCAGCTTGGGACGGTCCACGACCTCTCCTATGACCTGCGCGAAACAAAAACGCGAAACGCGGTCGCGGTGAGTCGACTCCGGCGCCAGGCCGGAGACTGGGAACGGACATGAATTCCCCGTTCATGGATGGTGATCATCATTGGTTAGTAATGGTTACTAGTAGTAATGGTTAGTAAGGGTTAGTAATGGTTAGTATATAATGGTTCCATTGAAATTAGTAATAGTAACTGGTTGTGGTTTTAACCATCTTGAAAAATGATGGAGTTCATCAATGGGAAGGATTATCCCATATATTATGGAAAATATAAAATGTTTGAAACCACCAACCAGGTAAGGTTTCAGGGAACGAATTGGTGGGAATCCATTCGTAATATTATTAGTAATGATCAATGGTACCATTACTACACATTACTACTGTCCTATAGCTTAGTAATGCTTAGTATAATCCCCAAAAAATCATCATCAACCAACAGGGGTTTCACTGCTCACATGGTGGTCATTGAGTCGCCCCCTGAGGGAGCCATCTTTGTGCCCCAGATGGTAAAATCAGGTAGGGCCCAGGGTTTCTTGTAACGATTTCTGCGTTCCGGCTATCATAACAACAGAAAAAGTCGCATTTATATCCATCTGTGATCATCTGTGGAATAGTTATCCACTAAAACATGGCACTTTTCCATTGTCACATTTTTTCAAACACATTGATCAGAGCCAAAAGAGCAGCAAATGCAGCAAAGAACCAAGTACCTCTATGTACCTCCATGTACCTCTACGTACCTATATGTACACACACATATATATATATTATTATATATATATACACAAAATATATATAATTAATTATATATACACACAATATGTACCTACCTATCACATTTTCCCACCTGCAATCCTTCCCGCATCTCCAGGCATTGAAGCAACGCTTCACGGTGTTCCAACAACTCCTTGCGCCGAAGAGGCAGCCACTCTGTGGTGCGAAAACTTGGGAACCCCCCACCAATCCTCCAAAAGATTCCAAAAGACTACAGTAAAACCTAAGCTTTATGATTGATGTATTAATTTTACCAGATTAATCTACAGTATTATCTTGTGAAACAAACAAATACCTCCAACCGAAAACTCTGGTCATTTGTCCCAACTCATGAGACTGGAACGGAAAAGGCCCACATCATTTCCCAAACATCTCCCAGTTGTTAAATCGGCCGTTTTATTTTGCGGGAAACCACTGGGATACCCTCTGGTAATTTAACATAACTATGGAAAATCACCATTTTTCATGGGAAAATCCACTATTTCTATGGCCATTTTCCATAGCTTTTTGTTAGTCATTACCAGAGGGATATCTTTGGGAAATGAGCGCTTCACAAAACCAGTGGAAGCCGCAGAAGCCGCTCCAGCACGCTCTCTCGGACCTGGACACAGCGGGATTGTCAAGGCCCGATGCCCATTAGACCTAGACCTGGAAAGCAAAAAAAAAAGGGTTTTGCGACTGAGGTTGATGAATTTAACTACAATAACTATATGATTGATAGCAGATATATATGATATATCTATATAGTTTGTGGGGTGATATAGAAGATTCTATACTTATCAATTTGATGGTAATTTTCAATAGCAAAGTGTTAATTTACAGTAAGTGCAAAGGATCCGACCGTAAACACGAGTTGAGCATTTTGACCATATATGTGGCCAGTGACCTTATGAGTCCTTATGGGCATGGTCAAGTCATTGAGGTATCCAGTCCCCACTGATCACTACTATCGCTATCCCTCAGTTCTCAGATGCTCATGATTCCTTTTTATATATACCATACCTTAGTAGACCCCCACCGTGGGGACCCCTAGGAATAAGATGTTTTTATTCCGAGGACCTTCCAGTTCAAAAAACCCATGATTTATGGGTTTAATACCAAGGATATCGCCAGTGGTTCATCCTGATCCATTTGTCATCGCCACGGCAATGGCGCCTCCAAGCACTGCTCCAAGACCTTCCGATGCATCAGTAATTCCTGCGAAGCGTGCGGCAATGGCATCCCCCATGGAGCTACATCCCACGTCTTGACCCCAAGGACCCAACGAATAGCCGCATAGCGGCTGGGGAATAAACTGAATAAACCAAACTGGTTGGTGGTGCAATAGCCATCTTGAAAAATATGAGCCAATGGGAAGGATGACATCCCATTTTTGAAATGGAAAGTAATCCAAATGTTTGAAACCACCAACCAGCAATAAAATCTTTGGAGTAAGATTCGTTCTCTCTGAGCCTGAAAGCCACCGCAAAGTGTGACTGACGTCCCAGGCTGCGCCAAATGTTTTTGGAACTACATCCTACTGTAATAGAGATTCAGTGATGCACTCCATTCACTGCAATTCAGTCAACCACATGTTTTTCACTCCACTGACTTAGCCGAAAATTCGAACATTTGATTGAAACCACATTTCATGGAAACCACAAAGAAAAACCACATTGGTTAAATCAACCACATAAACTAACATAACTATGGAAAATCACATTTTTCAATGCGTAAATCCACTATGTCTATCACCATTTTCGATAGCTTTTTGTATGTTTACCAGATGGGTAAACCTCCATTGTCCTATGGTTTTCCTCTGGTTTTCCTAGGATTTCATTGGTTTTCCTATGGTTTTCCTGTGGTTTACCAGAGGGTAAATCAACCACATTGGCGAACATGTTGAGTTGCGATGTGATCCACCTGGATCGGCTCCGGCACCTGTGTCAATTTTCCCACTTCCTCTCGCAGCAACGAGACCTGGACTGGTGGCGATGGTGACCATGGAATCCACATAAGAACCACCCAAAAATAGTCAGGTGATGACCAGATAACAAGAATCCTATCGTCATAGGTTAGTAATGGTTAGTAATGGTTAGTAATGCTTAGTAAGGTGATGATGACCAGATAACAAGAATCCTATCCCATTTAAGAACAAACATAGTCAAGAAAATGTGTTTCAACCAACAAACCGTTGGATTTGACCAACGAACATGACATGGAGATTTAACAAACAGAAATGGGGACTTAATCAGGTTCAACCAACAAACATTGGGTTTGAACAAACAAGCACCCTATTTAACAAACACTAAAATGGTGATAGAACAACAAGATGTTGGAATATATGGAATATCATACCCGACATGGTCATTTCACCAACTACAAACAGGGTTTCAAGATGTTTCAAGCAAAATCAATGCAGTAAAATCCCACTGATGGTTCTAAACCAGCGGCTTAATCCACCGATTGAAGCACATCTCTCTGGATAGCTTTTAACATGATTCCCCACTGCTACATATTCGTTTATCTTTTGTGCATACTATATACAATATATCATATATATATATATATAAATAAAGCAATAGCATATAATTATATATATATGTATGTTATACATATATATATATAATATAACATAATATAATACAACATACATACATATATATATACATAATATGATATATTATCTATCTTATATTATATATAAGAAATTACACATACCATCCATTTGACAGTGATTTATCTGATCGGCCATCTGATCAATCCTCCAGGTGCCTCATCTGCTTGGCTCAAGTTGGGCTCAACTTCCTGCGCATCGGTGGGTTGGAAAAGTTGGACTTTGCAAACCCTCTGGTAATGACTAACCATAGGAAAACCATAGGAAAGCCATAGGAAAGCCATAGGAAAATGGAGGTTTACCCTCTGGTTATGACTAACAGTTTGCTATTGAACATGACCATAGAAATAGTGGATTTACCCATTGAAAATGGTGATTTCCACAGTTATGTGGCAGTTTACCAGAGGGTAAAAGGAATTTGATTTCAAAAGGCTTCGAAAAGTCTTTCCGAAAACTAAGACACAAATCAAAATTGGATTCAAAATGAGTAATAATTAGATAGTTTAGTCGATACTCTTCAGGGGTGACATGGTAACATAGGGCGAATGACAGCTGCTGTTGTTTCATTGTTGATTGCGGACACCATACCCTGCTGATATATTCTAAGAAACAACACATGGCCATGTCATGCCATATCCTTCTTTTGGATCCTCAGTGAGTTGCTACCTCAGTCATTCAGGGTCTTTTGGAAAGCATACGAAGGGTTTTTCCCAAAATAGGACACCCCTTATTTCTTTTGATTTTTCCCATAAAATTTCCACATATTCTTGGAGTATAACATGGTATAACCCAAATGTCAAACAAACCCACATGGACGCCATGGCCACCCAGCCCCCACCTCACTGCTCGCCATGGCTACGAGCCGCCCAAACGGCTAAAAGGAGACCAAGCGGCAATCTTTTTTGGAAACTAGTAGAACTAGTAGACTTAATCCCTGCAATTTCATAGGAAGTGTGCAAGTTGAACATGTGAGATAATCTTTGTTGCAACAAAATCTCATCACTGTTGTAATAGATTATTGGGCTAAAACCGACTGCGATCACATCGTTTTTTGCGGTGCTGTGCTGTGATTGACCATCCCAACACAAGTTGAGATGCCAATGGTTTTCACAGCTTCCATCGGTCACTCTGCATGTTTTGTCTCTACTCGACAGGCGCCATGTTTTGAGCGAGTTACATGATACGGATATACGGATATGGACGGAGATGGTGATATATATATATTGTATTATATATATATATTATATATATAATATAATATATATATAATATATAATATATAATATATAATATATATATATAATATTATATATATAATATATAATATATAATATATAATATATAATATATAATATATAATATATATTATATTATATATTATATTATATATATATTATATATTACATATTATATATTATATATTATATATTATATATTATATATATAATATTATATATATATTATATTATATATATTATATTATATATTATATATTATATTATATATTATATATTATATATTATATATATTATATATTATATATAATATTATATATATATTATATATTATATATTATATATTATATATAATATATATAATATATAATATATAATATATAATATATATATATAATATAATATATAATATATAATATATAATATAATATATATAATATAATATATATATATAATATTATATATATAATATATAATATATAATATATAATATGTAATATATTATATATTATATATTATATATTATATATATAATATTATATATATATTATATATTATATATTATATATTATATATTATATATTATATATATATATATTTTATATTATTATATATTATAATCCCATTGGACCATCTTTTGGGTCACTGCACACGGAAATTGGACACATGCCCATAAAATGCATGTAGTTTTGGCACAATCCTATTCTATCCACCAGAATGAATGACAACACTGAATAAGAGAACTTACTATTAAACACCAGGCGATTATCTTGCATGATCTTGCATGGACATGCCAACTATATTAATCGTACATCTACTATATGGGTGTGTCTAAACATAGACTATACCTCCAAAATGGTTGTTGAAAATTCATTGGGAACATTCTGGATCAACCATTTGGGGGGTAGCATCAATGTGTAGCAACCCCAGCCAAAGTCGGATAGAACAACTGCTTAAAACACCTGGGAAAATCCTAGAAAACCTCTCCATTCCCCCGCTGAGAGCCAAACAAAAAGGCCTAACCTTCAAAGAAGGCGTTCAAATCATGAGGCCCTCTCCGGGATACCCTCTGGTAACTTAACATAGTTATTGAAGCCATGGCCATAGAAATAGTGGATTTTCCCATGAAAAATGGTGATTTTCCATAGCTATGTTAAATTACCAGAGGGTAATTGCAGTCCCAAATATTCCCGAATCAGAAATCAGATGAAATCAGCTCGAAGGTGGCCCAGCTGTAAGTTGGTAACCCTTCATTCGTTCGTTCGATATATCTATCAGATTCTACCATAAGCATCCATAATCTACCATATTCTAGACCGCAATCTACCATATTCTAGACCATATTCTAGACCATATTCTAGACCATATTCTATTACCATATATCTACTCCATATTCTACCATATATCTACCATAATGTAGACCATATCCTAGACTAAAGAATTGATCCAGTTCTGGCCCCACCATCCTTCAAGGTCACCGTTTCGCCAACGCGCGCCGCCGCGCCGCGAATCTTTTGCCACGCGACGTTTTTGCAACGCGAGCTTGCGTCAGGTCACCTGGGGTACGACACGATGAAAACCTGGGCTTTTGTTGCCCTCCAAGGGTTTAATATAGGATTAATATGGGATTAATGTGGGATATTTATAACATTTTATAACCATCTATAAATCGATAGATAGGTTATACATATAACCATCTATAAATCGATAGCTTCACCCGAAAATTATCTGGCCAACATTTTGCCATGGAAACTGGCCCATTCCATTCATCATTACCTCTTTCAGTAGACATGGTGAGTTTCCAGCATTTCCAACCAGGGACCTCATCCAGCCATGATACCAAACGGAAACGTCGGCTTTGCCTGGCGCACGTGGCGTGCCTAACGCCACGGGTCGATGAGTAGATCTCTGTGGTGGTGAAAAACATGTCTAAATTAAACCACCAACCATTGTAGTCAATATATTATATATCATATTATATTATACATATATATAATCATATATAAATGATTGGAATATTATGGAATATTGGGTCATCATCCAAAGGTAGGAGTGGATTTAGAGTGATTTAGAGTCACACATAGTGGATGTGTTTTGTCTATTTTTGAACCGTTTCAAATAAGTCACTAGTACCCTAAATATGATCTCCATTCAAAAAAAAAGAGCTATACCCTAATAACTAGTGACTTATACTAGTGAGTTATACCCTAATAACTAGTGCCTACAGTATTTAAAAAATATACAGCAACATACTGCAACCATCCCCGTCATTCGTAGTCCTTGGTTTGTGCATCTGAAGCCACGCCACTGCCGTTTGACCCGAGGAAAAGTTGCCGAACAATCCATGTACCCTCTGGGTATTTACTGTAGCTATCCGTAGCTATGGGAAATCACCACTTTTAATAGGTAAATCATCATAAATCATCTATAAATGGTGCCATTTTCCATAGCTATGTTAAATAACCAGAGGGTAATAGTATCAAGCTTTGAGAATGTGGGGATGTTCGACTCTGCATGAACATTGCTGGGCTTTCCAAATGACTTTTCGTCAAATCGGATCTTCAGTGGAAACAGGTTTTTTTTGCATCTTCATGTATGGGTTTGTCTAGAATCGGGTATACGGTATAATATAGTATACCCAGAAATTAGCCATATATATATGTATATATATATATTATACCATTTATATAATGGGAAAATGATGATAAACATGGATAAACCCTGGGCCAATATTGGGGTACCCCATTCTCAGACAAAGCCCCCTTGAAACCACCAACCATTGTAGTCAATATATTATATATCATAATTATATATACCCTCTGGTTATTTAACATAGCTATGGAATAGATGACCCATTTATAGATGATATTCCCATTAAAACCTCCATTTATAAGGGATTTTTCCATGGCTATGTTAAATAACCAGAGGGTTAATGATCTTATACCAATTTACCGCCTGGTAATTTCTGACATGGCAATGGAACATCCCATGAAACGGTGATTTGCCGGGCGGACCGCGTTCGTCTTTGGCACATTAAGGACCTAACCGTGAGACGTGAGCCACAGCGGGTTTTAGACATGACTCAAGACGCTTCAGATTACCAGTAGCGCGTGGGTTACTTTAGAGTGTGCGGATATATACAGTATATATATACATATATGTGTATCATAAGTGGGAAGATATTTGATTATTTCACATGCAAAAAACAATCCCGCAGTTCCGTCCGCATGGCATCCTCGAACTTGGTCCCCTTGCCGTCAGATTGACCTTGCGAGGAAACGATCGGTGAAGAGTGGTTGGTTGTCGCTATGGATTTATGGTCCACAACAGAGTCACCAAAGGACTGCCCAACAAGGGTCTGTGGCAGTCTGTGGATATATATATGTATACACAGTATATATATATATCTATATATATATATATATATCTATATACACATAGGTCAGCTCAGAACATCAATGAGGTGTCATACCATCCCCCTCAACTAGCCTAGACCGACCAACTAGCTTGGACTTGCCAAAAAAAAAGGGTCTGTGGCAGTCTGTGGATATATATATATTATATATACATGTGTATATACACAATATACATATACATATACATACATACATACATACATACATATATATATCTATACACATAGGTCAGCTCAGAACATCCATTTTAGGTGTCATACCATCCCCCTCAACTAGCTTATAAACCAACTAGCTTGGACTTGCCCAAACATGGGAAAACGACCTCTAAATAATTGTGAGTTGTGAGTCTCACATTTTTATATAAGTCTATTATGTATCATTGGTGGGTTAATACTACGATACTCGTTTGGTACATATATGTAGGATATATTAGAAGATATAGTCTATGACATTCAGCCAGAACTAATTCAAAAGAAAATAACTGCTTGGTGGTTTCAATCCCTCTGAAAAATATGAGTTCGTCAATGGGAAGGATGACATCCCAAATATGAAATGGAAAATAAAAGCCATGTTCCAAACCAGCAACCAGGTAATTGTCAATGGTCCTGCCATACCTGTCTCCACAAAAAATGGAGCGTCCGAAACACAGCTCAGATGATCGGTGCACCTTGGGTAAGAAGCGGATATCGACATCTTCCAACAACTCAGGTTTCACCTCCAGGATGTAGCTCGCTCATGACGCCACATGAGTCAAGTGAAGCTGATGCCACACTGATACCGAAAGTTGGTATACTGTAAAGATAATATGATTCACATCCTGAGGAAATTCAACTCAGATAAAATATAAAATATGGCAACTAGGGGAGATTCATAAGAACTCTCGATGGGTTGTATTCCTCTTGAATATGTAGCTGGCGATATGTTACATCCCAGTGCAACAAACAAGATGCCTACATTGCACGCAAACATCAAAACTAAATTTCCAACATATTGTTAAGGTAAGACACAACTATATGTCCCATTTAACTCATTTTACAATACTGCTTGGTGGTTTCAACCCCTCTGAAGCATATTAGTCAGATTGGATCATCATCCCAACTATTGGGGAAAATAAAACATGTTCCAAACCACCAACCAGAATATGACTACATTACATATCGTTTTGTCTTACAATATTCAATGGGCCAATGTCTTTAAAAATGGGGTGATGTTTTCCATCCAAGGAAACCTAGGTTTTGGGCTCCATTTGAAGCACCAAAACCTGGCCACCAGGTAGGCAGCCCTCTGCGGCCTTCTGATAGTAAGCGTACAACTGCCGCGGCGTGGGCGCTTCTCGGCCCTGAACGGGGCGTGGCGATGCGGATGGAAAAGGCCGCCATGGTTACACTTACCCTCCGGTAAACAAACAGAAAGCTATTGAAAATGGTGATAGACATAGTGGATTTGCCCATTGAACATGGTGATTTTCCATAGTTATGTGAAAGTTTACCAGAGGGTAGTTCAAAATGACCATGATATCAAATGACAAGAGCCTTAAACATTCTTAAAATCTTCAACAAGTTTTCGGTCCGCATTAAGAATATCAAACGGGTTCATCCAAAGAATCAAGAATCTACAATCCATCTGGAGCAATCCAGATCTCAGTCACGCAGCATTCCGCTGGCTCGAATGGATGCACTTCCCATTTTTAGGCAAGCCATTTTTATCTCCCCTTTGCAATACATTTGTATATATGCAGTATATATAGTATACATTGTGTACATTCTATATATTCATATATTGTACCAACACATACTGGTATATATATATAGTTACAATTATATAATGGTACAGTGTATAACCAATAGTACTATAATAGTACACAGTACAACTCAGTATATTCACATATATTCTAGTTATAGCAGCATAGCACCCCATTTTTTTCTGCTTAAATGTAATAAATCTAGCTTTCTGGCGTCATGTCGCCTCTGGAAGTCGCTCCCATCGATCTCGCACTGGATCATGGAAAGCTCTCACCAATGGCACCTGGTGATTCCCATGGTGACAACAGAAAAACCTCTGGACATTAGGGATATACTGGTTGGATCTGGTTGGTGGTATACCATGGTATACCTACCCTGATGGAAAATGAGGCTTTTGACCTCCAACATAAAAAAAGGGATCATGACTTACTGCTGCGTTTTACGCAGGGATACGCAGGGTGGCTGGATGGGTTGCTGGGGGTTGCTGGGATGATGACATTACTATTATGGATCATTCCCGAAAATTCCCTACCTAAAACGCACCAGTAGTTGGGGATTATCCCCTCAATCATCATTGTCACCAACCATAGAAAGTTCGTTGATTTACCCATGAATAGCAGGGTGATTTTCAATCGTTTTTTGTATGTTTACCAGAGGCTATAGATGGTTGGTGGTATACCTACCCCTCTGAAACATATGAGTTCGTCAGTTGGGATGATGATTATTCCCAATATAAAAAATAAAAATCATGTTCCAAACCACCAGTATAGTGTGGGGATTTATAAGCCAGACAATTTTTTGGCCATGACCAGCAAATGACCTTTTTCAATGTCTGAAGATTTCTGTTACGAAAGTTGGGGATCAAACCAGCGGAGTAGATCAATATCTACGGCCAGTGCTCATATATTGACGCAACAACTAAGGCCAATAAGGATCCACAGAATTGAGAAATATGTGTTAACACACATGTAGAATCAGTATGGAAACATGGGATTCTCAATACCAACTATGAGTTAACAGCAATATATTGCGATGTACACAAAGCAAAGTAGAAATAGACTGTGTTCGTACCAAGCTTTGAGTGTATTCCCCTAAGGAACGTGCCCACGAAAGATAGAAGAGTCCCTTTTTGCTGGAGACTTTTCCAACTTTAAAGCATGAAAAGAAATACTGCTAGAAAAGGAGTACTATAGCACGACCATAGGTGATGCGGAAAAGTTGCAGCCCAAAATATGCTCTGAGTGGCACATGTAGACTGAGGGTGTAAATCCGGTCTTGAAGGCATCCGACCGAATCTAACCTGGCAATGGTAAATCGCCCTTAGAAAATGTACAGCTTTTTCCAAATGCTGTTCCCGATAGCTAGGAACCACTTGGTGGCTCATCCCATTGCTCGTAAGTGGGTTAGTTCACCCCAGTTATAAGTGGATTAACCCTACAAAAAATCCCATGTAAATCACTGGGGTTATAACCCACTTACAAGCCGTGGGTAGTTCGCCACCAAGCAGGCTGGGACGTTGACCTCCCAGACCGAGTTGGCCAAGCCACGCTTTTGTCATTGTGCATGGGATCGCAGTAATGTGGGTCCGAGTCAAACCATTCAGGCGCCTGGCATGAAAAAGATACCCTCTGGTAATGACTAACATAGCTATTGAACATGGTGATTTATAGTGGATTTACCCATGAAAAATTGTGGTTTTCCATAGTTATGTGAAAGTTTACCAGAGGGTAGCCAATTTCAAGTGATCTGCCGGAAAAAATTGGTGAATTGCCGGAACATCAAAATGCTTGACACATTGGAATTCATGAAATGAATTCATAAAATGAATCTCCGAATGTGGATTTCCTGTTGGATCATCCTGATGATTTCCAGCTGGATTTCTCAACAAACATCGCAGGCTGGTGCTTCAAAATTGCTCGGTCACTTGGGTCAAAAAATAATTCACTTTGCCCAAAAAACAGGAACGTATAGGGATAGATGCGATAGGGATAGGGAAAAAAACACCCCACCAGTTCTTGGCACGAAAATGTGTGTAGACAATCTTTCTAATGTTATAAGCTATATATTTCATTATATATTTCTATATAAATATATGTAAATGAGACACCATTGTTGTTGCACCTTAAATGAAACCAGCCCTGACATGGCCCGTGCTCCACCATGCTCCGCCATGCTCCGCCATGGCCTTGACGCAGAGGTAGAAGGTGCCGCCAAGAACCAAGGCCCTGGTGACTCGTGGGATGATCCAATGTGGCTACCCTCTGGTAATGACAAAAACCATAGGAAAACCGTAGGAAAACCATAGGAAAACCCATAGAAATCCTAGGTAAACCATAGGAAAACCATAGGAAAGCCATAGGAAAATGGAGGTTTACCCCCTGGTAATGACTAACATATAGCTATTGAAAATGGCCATAGAAATAGTGGATTTTCCCATTAATAGCATGGTGATTTTCCATAGCAAACTGTTAGTTCACCAGAGGGTAACCATATTTAATAGTTTGCTATTGAAAATAGCCATTTTTTTTTGTGAATCATCTCTGGATGGGTCATTTTCTATACCCGGCCTGGTAAACATCAAAAATCTATTGAAAATACCCCAGTTATAGTGAGTTGTCCCATTAATAGCATGGTGATTTTCCCAGTAGTTTTTTGTATGTTTACCAGAGGGATCCACAATGCTAATCCGACATTCCTGACGATTCCACTTCCAACATCTTCCAAGCTTTTTATGCCTTACCCCTTGATGTCTTTTACACGGAGTTTCCTTTGACAAAAGCATTGGAAAAAACACCTGATATATTGTAATATGATATGATATAACCCCATGGGTTGAGCGTATGCATTTTCAGTCCATCCAACTGCTATAACTTTCACCTGTTGAAGCCTTTGGCACAAAACCATCCGAACATGATGCCAAATACATCTCCAGATATCTCCAGGCTTCCGAGCACCGTCAGAGGCCACAAGTTGGTATACAAATGGTCCTGAGGAACGTGTTGGGATGACAGTGGCAGGCACTCAGAGAATTGTTGTGGTCTGCGATATCTCCTCATAACCCGTTCTTGAGCACAAGAAGGTAATCATAAGACCACAAAAAGGCTCTAAATTAAATACTGGTTGGTGGTATACCTACCCCTCTGAAAAATATTAGTCAGTTGGAGTTACTATTCCCAATATATGGAACAATAAAAGCCATGTTCCAAACCACCAACCAGAATAGCACTGACCTCGGGCACGAGCGCCACATGATGCAGCATCAAGCCACTCATTGCAAAAGACTCTGGGAGGAAATTTAGCTCTAGAACAAGTTTGGAAAGGTATGGGGGTTTCCAGAAACGAGGGTTCCCCACAAATGGTTGGTTTATAATGACCATTCCATTTAAAATTCATGATTTAGGGGATTTTAGGGGTACCCCCATTTTAGGAAAAAGCCAAATAGAATCAAATAGATCAGCAAAAGATTTGCATTTGACCATGCTGTAACCGTTCACTACCCGGAATCACTGCCAGCATCAGCATCAGATCCCAGGCCCAGTACCCGAGAGTTTTGTCCCTCGGCAGGTCGTTTCGCTCGCCCTTGGCATAGCGCTCGTAGCGCTCCTGAGATGTCAGAGATAGCGACCAGAAAAGAGCGGTTGGAACCACCAAAGGCCCAAATGTCATGAAGAAGTTGCAGGAAATCCTTGTTCTTGCGTACCATTCTTATCCAAATTCTTACCATCTTTTTTTGGTGGTTACAACCTACCCCTGAAAAATCATGGAGTTCGTCAGATTGGGATCATCCCAACTCTTGGGGAAGTCATAAAATTCATATACCCTCTGGTAAACTTTCACGGTTCACTATGGAAAACCACCATTTTTCATGGGGAATTACACTATTTCGACTGGGCCATGGCTTCAATAGCTTTTTGTACGTCATTACCAGGCCGGGTAAATTCCATGGGTCCAGTCACCACCAATGCTGGATGGATGTCACTGGCACATCCAGACGGCTGGTCCTTTCGCGCTTGCCGTTCCTCGGGCGTCTCCTGGAACCGAAGAGTTTTCCAAAAAACTGGACGAAGAATGGTCATATCTGGGTAAATTAAAACCATTTGGATTGACTGTCATGGCCCTCTGGATCCCCTGAAGCCTTGCCATCAGTGGCATTTGAAACTTTAAACATCTGGGATAACCTGAATAGTTCGGCCATGAATGGGGATGATTCCCCTAAAATAAACCATGATGAACCAGGCTTCGGGAGAACAGGGTTCGGTCGTGATGAAATTTACCCAGGTATATATACTAATGGTCTAATGGCGATCCTTACACTAAGTCACTAAGTGCATACTTGATATAGTTGTCACATATTGAGGCTGCTTGGTGGTATACCTACCCCTCTGAAAAATGATGGACTTCGTCAGTTGGGATGATGAAATTCCCAATATATGGAAAATCATAAAAATTCCATGGTTCCAAACCACCAACCAGATATTATTATTATAGATAACTATAGATGTAGAAATGTAGAAAACTATAGAATACTAAAATTTCATGGTTCCAGTCACCACCAACCAGTGATTCTTAACCATTATTAACCATTATTAACCATCATTAACCATCATTAACCCATATATTTCACCAATGTTCCAGTCACCACCAACCAGGAGGTTGAAACTCAATGATTTTTTCGGACGATGTCAGTCTGGTTACTTCAACCGGGCAAGACCTTGGTACGAGATCTGGTCATGTAACCAACAACCATATGGGTGTGTCTGAAAATGTCGTGTAGCCCTAAAGGTACCCAATGGTTTTGCTGATCATTATTAAATTATCCCTATGAAAAATGGCTATGTGTTTGGAAATATACCCTATTTTCAGACAAGATCATAAAATCCCCTATGAAAAATGGCGATTTGTTTGGGAAGATTAACCCAACATTTTCAGACAAACCCATATTCATTGAAACTTTGAAATGAATCTAAATAATGAGCCAATATTCAGGTTGAATATGGTTGAATATGGTTCAACATTTTATCGTTTATCACTTTGAACTAGGATTGATTTCTGTCAGCTCCAACTAGAGAATTTGGCATGCATCCAACTTTAAAAAACACACCTTAGAATTGGATTATCACACATGATCCCAGCAGTCAATGACATATCCCAGCATAACATTACAGTAGAATCTGGACTGCTGGGATATGCCGGGATCGCTCCACCGATCGGTCCTTCTCCCAGTGTTGTGTCCACTGCTCGCGATCCACCTGGAGCTCATCTACCGATCTCAAATTAAAAAGGTGCCAATGGACCTCGAAAATGGTCAGTTTTTGGGAGATTGGAGTATATTCAACCATGTTGATCATTATTAACCATATTCAACATCAACACTAATACTAACATTAATTATATAATATGTTATATTCAACCATATTCAACCATCATATGCGATCAGATTTTGAAGTCGATTCTTTGCCAAACTCAAGCTCCCCAAGAACCGTGATCATCCGTGGTGAAGATCAATTGCAACTCACACAACGCACTACTTGGTGGCGAACTACCCACGAATTGTAAGTGGGTTATAACCCCAGTGAAAAACATGGGATAAGTAGGGCTAATCCACTTATAACTGGGGTTATAACCCACTTAGAATTCGTGGGATCAGCCACCAAGTAGTGCATGCAATCTTCGCTTCGCATGCCGGCTCTCAGCATTCGACATCCAACCCACCTCCTCCAACAGAAACATACAAAAACCACGACCCAAGCGGACGTCCTTCATGAATCATGTGGACAATTGCTTTGTCATGACGAACTGCCCTCATTTTTTGTGATGTTTTAGAGTTTGAGAACATATTTTATGATTTTATGTTCCCGACAATAACATGTTCATTTTTTATCATTTTTTTGCGGTATACCATTTGGACATACCCATTTTTGGACAAATCTACTGTGTATACAACGGTGCCCTCGGTGCCATCTTCCCCAGGCCTGTTGGCTCATGTTGGTCCCGAACTTGCTGAACTGCAGGTCCTGCGTGACAAGCAGGGAGCGGGGTATAGTGAAAGAAGTGACACATGGACAAACTTTTGAAGATATTTTTGGTCCCCCTCAATTTTGCTGTGTTTGTCTGACAACCAAATTGCTACATCCTGAATTTGTTGTTGTTGCTGTTGTTGCTGTTGTTGTTGCTGTTGCTGCTGCTGCTGCTGTCATTGTCATTGTCATTGTCGTCGTCGTCGCCGCCGCCGCCGTCGTCGTCGTCGTTGTTGCTGTTGCTGTTGCTGCTGCTGCTGCTGTTGCTGTTGCTGCTGTTGCTGTTGCTGCTGCTGCTGTTGCCGTTGCTGTTGCTGCTGCTGCTGCTGCTGGTGTTGTTGTTGTTGTTCTTCTTCTTCTTCTTTTTCTTCTTCTTGTATCTTCTTGTAGGTGTCGACTATGTAATCATGAGAGTCATGGAGACTTGATTTGAACATCTGAAATTGTAAGCACCAAACAAATCAGGCAACGCTGACACGGTTTCAGGCCTGGAATTTAGACAGGATGCACAGCGGGCAATGCTGAGGCAGACTTCTGATGATGGCAAGTTGACGTCTGTACGAAATAACCACCAGAGAAATCTGGGGTGAGGATTTCTCGAAACAAATGATAAATAGAACGGACTATCATGGAGAAATACCTTCAAAGGGCTAAACCTGACCAAATTGTAGGAATGCAACGTCCAAGTTGCCAAGCTTCTTCTTGCAATAAACCTTTTCCACTGAATGGTCATTTCCAATCAACGAAGTGGTCTTTTGAATGTTTTCGCTGATCATTTCCAATCCGAATCCTTGCAAACTCACCCTGCCTGGTCGTAGAGCGCTTTCTTCCAGGAATCACTCAACCTGACCACCGTTCGGCTGCACTGAGGAATTCCAAACTCCTGTTTTGCTGTCTACTGTAGACGTTCCCCCTGTATAAAAGCGAAATCAGAATAAATGATTGTCCGATACAGGTGTGGTTCAAATTTCAGGCCTGGCAAACAGCAAATGAACAAGTCATTCCTATACTAAAGTAAACCATCAGAGTTTGTGATGCCCAATTCCGGGCAGACAGCAAAGATAGCAAAGACAGTTTCCATCACAGCCAGGGATCTGGGGTCAGGGACGTAGCATGAGCTTCCTGAACCTCTTTGAAGCGCGTTTCCGCCTGTCGGAGTTTGGTGGCCGCTGTTTCCCTGGTGATTTTGCTAGCTTCTTGATGGGAATGACCCTGAGGCTCAATCCTAACCAGCTATTGGGAGTACCCCCAGTCATCATCCATATTATGTTCGGATTTTCCATTTTTTTTCCCATCCAGCTATTGGCTAGCCCCATTTATGGAAAGCCATTGAAAAACGGAGTATGGCTGCCATGAGATACCCTCCTACCATCACCCCAGGTCATGCATGATGATCCATGTGGAGGGGGCCTCCGGATCATCCACGTTGCGATCTGGGTGGTACTTCTTTGCCAAGCGTCTGTACCTCGGAGAGTTTTCACCGGTCATGGGATGGTCAGGTGGGATGATCCAAATGGGGCACGGCGAAGACATGGATCTGTGGATCGCGGTGAACTGTCCTGGTTTGAGAATTCCTGAATTCCTCAGGTGGGGTCTGGGATGGTCTGGGTATGTTTTGATTGTGAAATGATTGTGAAGCTATGTCTATCTTGGCAAGAAACTTCGCAAAGTAATTCAAGTACGAACGGAAATCACTAACGCAGACGGGTTCTTTCGGTCGACCCTCAAGTAATAGGAAATCCTCCGACAATCCAGGGACATCGCCAGGGAAAAGCATTCCTAGCAACATGCCTGGATAGTCCTGGAAGAATCCGACGATTTGTTCATTGATGATGGTCTCATGGTCTCTCCGATATCAACCCACCATGAAAACCAGCACCCCCGAAGAGATCGAACAGGTCGAGTGGTGTGTTCGGTAGGCTGACGCCAGTGCATTGAAATGGTGGTAAATCATGATAAGATATGATAAAGCATGGGTAACATAACTGTGTATGGCGCAGGTCCCAAAGTGATATGCATCACTACATCAGCTATGAGCAGTGTTAATGACCAATTTGAACAAAAACAGTGGTTGCTTTTCATTTGATCATAGTATTCAATATGTAGAGAGTTGTATATTCCGCGCACAAATGGCCAACCAACCATTTATCATCATTTATCGAGCATATATCAATATCATTCAATATCGCCATATCTTTCAATATGTCGGTTAAAACAAAGAAGAACAAATCGATGGTTTCATCCATGGTTTAATCCCATTTCAATCCAATAATATCCATTTTGATATCACAAACTTCTTTTTTTGAACGGGTTCAGCTATCCCTGGTTGGTGGTTTCAACCCCTCTGAAACATATGAAAGTCAGTTGGGATGATTATTCCCAATATATGGGAAAATAACTTTCATGTTCCAAACCACCAACCAGATCCCATTTCAAGTGGCTTTTAACGATCTTTACAGATCTGTACTAATCTGACATCAACAACTCGGTCGGCGCACGCTTCTTTGATGTCTTCTTTCTTGGCCTTTGGCGTCACCTCCAAGATGTCATAATACCTCCATCCCGAGCTCCAGGCCGACTATATATATATATAAAGGGATGCTTCTGGGGAATATATGAACTGAATATTATTGAAAATAATTGAATATCTACATTCATTGTTCAATACTGTTTTCTTTTTTAAACATATTTATGTTCAATGTTTCTTCCTTAACATTGCTACTCTTTCTTCAGGCGATGGTTCTGGGGCAATTTTTGTGCCTACTTTGACTGTGTTTGTCGAGGCTTTCCAGATCTTTCCAGTTTCCTATCCAGTCCCACCAGTATTCAACTACTCAGATTTGCGTTGAGCAGAGGTTGTTTGCATCCTTTTCTTCACCTGTCCCTATTGACAACTTCTGGAGTGCTTTGGCTTCGCCCAATTTTGGAGTACTTCCGTCAGTTTATGTCAGTTTTGTTCAATAGGCTTCCTGGCAGTATTTTCATGGAGTTGCATGGTGTGTTTTTCACCACGGCAGAAGTGCAGACGTTCGAAAGATTCCAATTCGACAGAAGACCAACTTCGGAGGAGCTGATTTTCTCCACGGGACATCTGGTTGGGTTTTGCATTGAAAGAATGGAAGCGACCATACGAAACTTTCCCAGCTGAAGATCCACTGCAGATTGTGCCCCTCTTACGTTTTCAGTTTCTTCCCCCAGTAATCAAGATTGCTTCATCAATTTCATGTAAATTTTGCTCCCATCAGATGGGTTTGTGTTCATTTAGATCATTTAGCATCCCAGTACCCTCTGGTAATGACTAGCATAGCTATTGACAATTGCCATTTAGTTCGTTGATTTTCCCATTCAAAATGGTGATTTTCCATAGCCATGTTAGTTTACCAGAGGGCATCCCTTTTAGAAACATAGCAAGTATAGGAAAATCCATTCAGCTGCTGCATCCGCATCAAAACCTGCCGGCGACACGTGCGGCTGCCACTTGCAAACCGACGACGTGAGACCTTGGGGAAGGCCCTTGAAAAAAAACGAGGACCATCCGGCAATCAAACGGTGCAACGGGAAATCCCCTATAAATAGACTGGTTGCTGGTATACCTACCCCTCTGAAAAATATTACTGTAGTCACTTGGGGTTACTATTCCCAATATATAGAAAAATAAAAAGCCATGTTCCAAACCACCAAGCAGTAGAGGTTTATAGCTGGGAAAAGGACCACTCATCTATTAAAAAATGAGACTTTTCATTATTGTCATAAGGTAAACATAAATAAAACCTGGTAAAAATATGAAACAAACGGTTTGAACATGACTCTTCCTAAGGAAGCCTATGGTTCACTAAATGTCATGAGAGAGTCAAGGATTTGGGCACTGCCATTGACCATGATTTTGCCCACGAGTTTTGACACATCCCGAGGTCGCTTTAAAAAGATCATATCAGTAAAGATTCTTTGGAGTACAATCATACAGCATACTGAGATTACAATCTTCCTGGTTGCCTTTGGTGGTTTATACTTCAGTAGGGATTGACTGTCATGGCCCTCTGGATCCCCTGAAGCCTTGCCATCAGTGGCATTTGAAACTTTAAACATCTGGGATAACCTGAATAGTTCGGCCATTTGGGGATGATTTCCCTAAAATAAACCATGATTCCAGGGTTCGAGAGAACAGTGAGGTCGTTATAATTTACCCAGAAACGTTAATGCCGTTCAGCAGTGCAGGTTTGAACCCACCTCTGATCTTCCCTTAGGTCATAACTGGGAAGGTTCTGCTCTGCCGTGGCTGCTTGTTCGGGGGAGTGAGTTCCAGGACTTGTGTATCCTGGGATGTCAGCTATGTCAGGGGTATGTACGAGAATATATCCCCAAGTTCTACGGCTTTATATGGTACAGTACTGTACCTCTATTCAAGGGTCCTGAAATTCCTATTGAAAATGGGCATACAACCTTCAATGCTGGGCTTAGTGACAATGATGGGTCCTTCTGAAAAACACATCCCCGCTGGCTCTCCTCTATCAGAGCATTCTGGGACGGGTTCAAACAGTTCAAACATGCGAAAATCACCAAGATATGGAGCTTTCCCAAAATTTCCCAGTCGTCATGACTTAGCAACCCCAGTTATCATCCAGTCGTCATGAACGACCATGACTTAGCAACCTGAACCCCCATGGTGACTTGGGAAACTGTCTATTTTAAGAGACCCAGAAATGGACGATTCACCAGGTGGATCCAGGCCGCACCTGACCAAAGCGCCCTGCAAAATGCCTGCGAGCTCCACCAGGTCCAGGTCCAAATGGCCACACTTTCTTGGAGATTTAAAGATCAATAGATGACAAAAGTGATATATTTTCAATGTATAGCCAGCCATCAGAAAATAGATACTTAGAATTACTTAGATACCTAAAACTTTAAAATAGTAGGGAATTGCATTTCTATCCTTGTTTTGGGGTACTATTTTACACCAGCTCTAGTCATAGTTACATCGCGAGATTTCAATTCCGGTCTTCGAGTGTCTCGTCACACCATCCAGGGATATTGAGCCAGGTGCCCATCCCCCGGAAATTGAAGCCATGTTTGGTCCCTGTTGGTAGTCTAAGATCCGCAGGAAACCAATGGTTCTTCCAGTAGAATCAAGGAATCAAGGGGAACACACACTACCCTCTGGCAATTTAGCAGTTTGCAATGTAAAAACACCATGTAAAAAAAAAAACGGTGAGTCATCAAACTAAAAGGGCCATGTATACCATAGCATACCATAGCCATGGTAAATCACCAACGGGTATCACACCTGTTTTAAGTGAACACCCGAAGACACCTCCACCGCTGCGAACAACTTCGGCAGTACATCGCAGGAAAATCGCGGCAAATGGCGAAAAGGGGCTGCTGGCAGGTACTGATCCATGGAAAACTTGGTGCATGTTTCTTGAGACAAAGAATAATGTTCCAATATATCTTGATAGCATTGATAGCCATGGACCCCTGTGCTGTAAATCATGTATATCCTGTAAGATTTCTATAGATCTCTTGCAGTACTTGCAGTCCAAGACTGCCCACAAACATTGATCAATGTTGCTGTGACTTGAGTTTGGTGCTGCCTAGCTGCTGTGGCAAGTCTGACTAGGTTAATCATGTTTAATCTAATTTGGTGGGGGTAGGCGTAGCTGGTTGCCATGAAATCTACCTGAGGGAGGTTATAAAATATTAATATAGTCAATCTGCCCTGCGGGAGGTAACAATTAGTCCTGCAGTCCCGCCACAGCATCTTCATTGTTCTCACGTGTTCTCGGAATTTGCGAAACTAAAAGCTGCAGTTTTTGGGGCCGCAAAGATCGTCTCTGGAGTTGCTGCCGCAAAAAATGAGGAGGTCAGCTGGTCAGTCGCAGCCCAGGTTGCCAAGAAATCATGATCGATCTCCTTCCCAATTGGCAGGGAAACCAACATGTACATTTCACTCAAGCTGACTCTTAAATTAATACATGTTCTTTTCTCACTTCATCAACCTAGAAGTCAAACACACAAAGCTTTTTTCAAGAAGAGAACCTGCAGAGAGCAGTGAAGAACTGTGGCTTTCATCAATTTTTGTCATCAACTTACCCCAAGACTGCTCACATATCCAAGGTCCCTCATAGTCCCACGCAGCTCTGTTCAGCTGCTGTCCTATTTCGGGGTAGTGGTCGCTGCGGGAA